AGTAATTGGAAACTATAAATAAAAATGTAGCTGGACTAGTCTTTTCATTTTCAAAGCTGAATGGACTGCAAAAGTAATTAGCATAAAGGGTGAACAGTATATTAGATTTTAAAAGTTCTTTCATTTTTAATAATCCAAGATGTTGGCAGTAATACAGGGAAGGCAATTTCAAAGTATATGATTTAGATGACACTTTCTCTTTAATTTAAAGCCAATGCTAGCTTGTGTGTGTGTGCATTTTGTATTAAAAATAGGCAGAGGCTGAGCTATGTACCTAAGTTGTTAATATGTTTTATAGACCAATTTGTACCAATCTGGGCCCGTTTCTGCAGCCATTCCATGTTGAAAATCCTATTGTTTCCCATGGGATCCCATCTGCAGAATGTAAGGCCTTCAGTGTGATTAGCCAAATGTGTTCCTACCCACAAGGCTATAATGTGATAATTGCAAGGCTGGGAGCCAATCAGATTGCTCCATTTTATAAATCCGCTTTCAACTTCCAGAGTTCTGACAGGTACCTCGCCAGTAGGGGGTCCATGGAATCTGTTTGCTTTGACCTTAAAAAAAAATTGTAGTAAGATTATTTTCTCACAGTACAGAGTCTGATATTCTTGTTCACTTTGACCTATGATACCAGAAGTCAAAGCTCTGTAGAAGTCTTTTAAAGCAAATGTTAATGTTTTCATTAGTCTCTGCATTGTTGTTTCCACTAGCTGCTTAATATTTCTTCCACTCTAGAAGCCCTTCTGATCAAAGCATGTTTATTTTTCTACTCAGATTAGTTCTTTATACATCTCTGCTTAATCACCATCATAGCAGTTTAAGTGGTCAGTTCTGAGTACAACACTCATGAGAACAATGTTATCTTACTACCACCTACTCTCTGGATGAAAATGTGGATCTGTATACTATATCAACAAGATGGAAAGCAGGCTATTGGCTTATGCTTTGTACGGCAGGCACCCTGCCTCAGCAAGAATGAGACTAATTAAAGGGGGCCCTGAATGGAAGGTGTAAATACTTACTTACACTGAGCCTGATCCATGTGCTAAACGTCTTTAACTCCCACTAATTCCAGGGGGAATTGAGGGTGGTTAGCACCTTGTTGGATCTGGGGCTGAATTAATAACATAAGACCTTCTGGGCCAGTTCTATGCACAAACTTGTGCTGGTTGAACTAAAGGTGTGATGTTGCACTGATGTAGTTAAATTGGTGCAACTTTGTGTCTGGACACTTTTACATCTGTTTAAAATGGGCTTAGAGCAGTTTAGCTTGTCCTTGTTAAATAAAAGGCAAGCTACACTGCCATAAACCAGATTTAAATCGATGGAGAATGTTCACACACAGTTGCATTAGTTTAACTAAATGGGTGCAGCATCACACCTTTAGCTAAAATGGTGCAACCTGTGTGATTAGACAAGCCCTTAAAAAGTCTGTTGTAAGTGCAATGTGAGCTTTGTTGCTCCCCAGTCAATGCAGTCACTCTTATACAACTCTTGTCTAAGGGAGAGAGACGAATGCATTCCATTACTAGTTAACAGGCCAAATGCTGCTCATCCTATGCAGATAGATCCACTGAAATCAGTTTAATGAGACAAGCAGGATTTGGCCAAATGTGCATAAAGCCTTTTGAAGAAGAAAAGATCTATACAAATCATTAGTAGCTTTGTTACTGTTCAGTCTTACTCATATAGGTTTTAAATTATTAAAAAATTAAATATCTTTTTGAACCGTCTCCTTCAAATCCCTCCTCAGAACCACACTGTGATGCCGACAGGAAATTGCCACTGGATAATGGTTAGAGAGAGGGCTAGTGTTAATATTCATTTGTTTAAATGGTTTGGAAACATCAAGGTTATGCACATATGGCCTGTGTTAACATGGGATCATATTACTGTTACCCTTGTACTCCCCTCTTCCTTTTCCTGGGTTGTTTGTTAACTCACGTATTGTCTTGCTTTAAATTAGATTGTAATCTCTGAGGTAGGGTCTGGTCTTATTGTGTGTTTGTACCATGCTTACCATACCAGCGCCCCATCCCAAATGGGACATTTGGGTGTTGCCGTAATAAAAATTGTAATAATAACCTCTTCAGTGCCCTGTTGCTTTACACTATCACATGTATAACATAGCAGCGGATCTATGGTCTTGTGTATGTATGCTGCACACCTTCATTTCCCACTGAAGTGTTTGCACGCATGATGGGTGACATGGGACAATTTGCAGCCTATGAGTGTTCATATTGGATTCTGCTCCGGGGTGAAGCATCTGTAATAACAAATATGTATTTTAATTTTTACCGTAAAACTAAACAAAAACAGTTGGTAAACTGTAGCTGACTAGAGCTTTATTGGTCTATCAGAAGGGCCAATGTCATCATCGCCTTACGGTCTGAAGCCTAGTTACAGTACTAAATAGACACCCCTTTTGGGGAGTATAGTGTACTTCTTTAGGTAGGTCCTGTTTCAGTTCTGATTGTGCTGCTTTGAAGTAATGCATGCTTAGATGTCTAATTATTCTAATTGCAAACATAAATAATGGCAGGCATACAAAGCAGAAGCCCAGCTGAGCCTGAAGATTTGTCCCTAAATGACAAGAACTCTGTTCCTAGGCAGCGGGATTAGAAATGAGTATGGCTGGGGCTATCCTCGTCTGAGTCTTTTTGTTTTGTTTTGTTTGTAAATACATCTGGATCAGTCTGATGTGTCCTAAAAGCAAACATTTTGCACTATAGTATCTTTTTGAGGCTGGGAGATGTTGCAATATCCAGAAACGGGGAGATGAATTACATCGGAGATCTGGTAATTCCTACTCCATCCCTCGGTTCGAACACATCTAGACATTGTTTTACATTCAGTTATAATAAAATGTGTTTTCTAGTCAGAGACTTATCACTGTGCTTATTTGATAATTATGACTGGTGAAGATCACAGTATTAGTTATTAATGCTATAAATCTTTTACTCTAAAACAAAGTATTTCTTAGTACGTTTTTTGTTCTCTGAGTGTGAGTTTGTTTGTTAGTTATATACGTCCCTGGCGTATCTTACTTTTTTTTTTTGGTTTCATAAAGGGGCACCTACTCAAGTCTCACACCCAAATTTTACTTACCTCTAATGCATTATTTTTATATAGCATTATTTGTTTTCCTGATGTAGAAATAGAATCATTCTCCAATAATGGATGCGACATAAATAAAACCGGAGCTCTTAAGCTTTGTAGCCCAGTCACTAAAAATAAAAGGTGCTAGTTTGCTTTACAATCATGGATGCACATTCTACACACTCCTTTGATATTAAATTTGGGCCATCTCGCCAACCCTCTCACAAATCCTTCAACCAGCCTTGTGTTTGGTGGTGGGATCATAGTGGGAAATAATTACATTTTGGGGAGGAAAGGCTGCAAAAAATTGTTATGCAGGATGTCACAGGGGCCAAGCCTTTGGGTTGACTTATACAAGTAAAGGGTCCTACAGACAGCATGAAATAAAATATATGTAATGTTTCCAACTGTGAAGGTAGGAACAAAAACGACCCCGCACCACAATAGTTAACAAGAGTTTAGCACCAAATGGCATTAGATTAAGCCAACTCTGGCTTTAGTTTCCACCTTCCGATTTCCCTTCTGACTGCCCCTTCTGAGATTCTTGTTTTGGTCTGGCTTCCTGTGCCTCAGGTGCTTACCCATTTACTGATTCTCTGCTCCTGTGTATTCAGCAGGGCTTGGCTAATTTGGTTGTTTTAAAGAGACTGGACCAGTCTAAATTGCTCAGAATATCGGTGAGAGAAAACATGCCAAAATTTGAGTTGCATATCTAACTCAAAGGGCCAGATGCAGAGATGATGCATAAGGTGGTATAAATTAGACAACTTTAGCTTAGGGCAGATCTACACTAGAAGCGCTACATCAGTGCAGCTGCACCAATGGTTTATGCCAATGGAAGAGCACTCTCCCATCAGCATAATTACTCTACTTCCATAAGAGGTGGAAACTATGTAGGCAGGAGAGCGTAGTGCCAGTGTGGATAGTGCTTAAGTCGCTGTAACTTGTGTCGCTCAGTGGGTTGTCTTTTTCACACCTCTGAGTGATGTAAGTTAGATCGATTTAAGCGGTAGTGTAGAACTGCCCTTAAACAGCTTTAGACTTACTTGTACCCACTCTTCCATTGTGTAAGGGAGTGTAAGTTGGTGTAACTTACTGTTCTATCTTCTTCCAAAATCATGTCCCATCTCTGACACGAGTGTTGCTACCCTGCTGAGTGGTGGCAAAAATCTGGGGTCTTCTGGGTCAGCTTCCCAGTGGGGAAGGAAATCCGTAACTCAGAGCCTAGATATATTCCAAGTATAACTTGCTTGATTTTATGCAGCAGTCCTGAAACAGAGATGGTGACAAATGGCATGCTGGCAATCTAATGCCCAGTTTCCAGGAAGTGTACCAAGAACTGAGTCTAGCAGAGCAAACCGTCTTGCTGCTTCCAGCAGCTTCCTCTGCACAGAACCTTACAGCCAAATCAACAACAAGAGAAGCATTATTTGCAACCCTTAAAATTAGCTAACGCTCAAAGAAAAAGAACTTGGAAGATTATGTGTAACAATGACATTTGGCATAAAATTATACATGCTGGGAAGCTGGGTGTGGAAAAAGAGCAAATTAAAGCAGGAAGGGAGCTACTCAGCTTTAATTTAACACCTTCCATATCCTTAATGTATAAATTACTCCATCTTAGATCCATGCATCAGGGGAGGGCTGTGAGAAGTTTTACATACACCTCCTAATGCATCAGCTCTGAATTTGTCCCAAATCCTGGAACTAACAAAAAAAAACCAAAATTGTGGTGCTGGATAGAAAGGCAAAGCACCCCACCCCTACTCCCGCACTTAATAGTATATTTAATACTCTGACAAGTCTACTAGTCCTCGTGATTTGGCTCTGTATATTTTTCTATTGAGGCTGGAATTGCATAATATTTTTTCTCAATATGTTTCTGTTCCTTTTCATAGGCAAATTAAGCTCTTGGGATCTTCTGATTTGCTTATCTTCCAGTAAAACCGATGATACAGACTGCTTTCCAATAGATGACTTTCATCAGTTAGAATTATTCCAGAAGGTAAAGTATTGACATGCCTTCTTTTGTTTGGAATACCCCACATTTTTCATCACCCACTAACAAAAATAGTGTTCAATTATCTATTTATGGTCTAAAAATGTGGTTCATTAAACTGTAAAGCAGAGCTGTGTTTCCAAGTTCACTGCCCACTCAGGGATGTTTATCGTATATCATATTTGCATTCTTGTAGATATCCTATCCAGAGATCAAGAGCAATGTCTTAATGCTTTCAATTTGTGTGTAGTTTAATACGTTGATGTTCATAGACATTGAAAATTGTTACAGCTGGATGTCATGGTTTGCTCTTTCCAATCTGAGCTTCTGGACTCTATGCCATACTCAAAATTCAATTGTCATGCATCACAAGAAATATAGAAGTAAAAGAAAATTGTAACAAATGTCTCTTTGAGAGAAGAAACTTTAGGAATGCGGAAAAACAGCTAGAAAATACATTCAGAGTGTCAGAATGACTGGGGACCAGTTCAGCCAAATGTAAGCAGGGGTTGTGCCACTTATGCAAGGGCTGGATTGGCTCTAGGAATTAAAAATATATATATATATACGGTGTTTATATATAATTGTCATTTTACAAACATAATTCAAGCATCTCTCCAAACAATGACCCTGGTCCTGCAACTCGCAGCGTGCGGATGGACTGCTGCGCCCATGTGGAGTCTGAACTGAAGTCCTTTTGGACCTGCATGGGCACAGCAGTCTTGCACACATACAGTCAATTGCAGAATCAGTGCCAGTATGAGCTAGTCTTCTAAGCATGTCTATAATTGGCCCTCACTTTTTCCACCTGAATTTTGAATATTTTAAGCACAAGTTAGGTTACTTAGTTATCGAGGTACCTGATTAAATATCTGACTTGCAGGTGCAAACATCTAAGTGACTTAAATTGCGCAGTTATTTGCACCTGCAAAATTGTGGGAACAAAAATGCATGCCTAATTTGACTCATAATTTCAAAAATTTTGCACAAACCATAATTGCAGGCACAAAATTGCATTGTGAAAAATAAGGGTGTACAAGAATGAAAGGGTCTTCTGGAGGGGTGGATTTCTTCCACAAAGCTTATTAGTGATGACAATATCAAAACTGGATGTTTTTCTAAAATGTGTGCTTTATGAATTATTTTGGGATGCTTCTAGGGCCTGTGTTATACCGGAGGACTGACTAGATGATCACATTGGTCCCTTCTGGCCTTGGAATCTATAAATACCCTCACTGATTCAAGAATAGTTCTTCATCTGGCATGTTATACCAGTACATATGTACTGGTAATTTGTATTTACTATCTGATTGGGATCTTGATCCTGCAAAGGCTTATGCACATATGTAACTTTACATCTAGGAGTGGGGCGACTCTTAGGACCAAGGGCAAATTTTTAAAAGTATTTATATGCCTAGAGATCCGGATAAGTGCCTAATGCAATTTTCAAAAACACGAGGTGCCTAACTCCCAGCAACTTTTGCTTTGTAGGGTTTTGCCATGAGAGTTAAGCACCTAGGTGCTTTTAAAAATCCCCTAGGTGCCCATCTGCTTCCTTAGGTGCCTAAATACCTTTAAAAATCTGGGCTGAAGCCCTTTGATTGTAAATTCCTTTAAGTGGGGACAGTATCTTCCTTTACATCTATGCAGCACAGAGAACCAGTTTGACACTCAATGTTTGTTTATTTAGATTTACAGTAAATATGTACAGAAAGCACCTAAATTTGCCAAATGTTAAAAATATGATCAAATCAAAAGTAAAGGGGAAAAAAATAATGACCGTGGGAGGCCTATTGTTCGCGCCGCCCCATCCTACAACAGTGGGGCAGGAAAAGGTGCTCAGAATGAACCTCATGTGGAGGTTGAGAGATGTACCAGCCACCTCTGCATGGTAGGTTTTGCCTGCTCTTGCCTAATGGGGTTTCAGCAAGTCTACCAGGTGACTCCCTGGCAGTTGACGATGAGGGAAACAGTCACCTGATTTATTCTGAAGATCTTGTGGGAAAAGAGCCTCCTCCCATGGCCCAGGACAACAGAGCTAACTCAGGAGTGGCTTGTATACATATATTCCTATTAATGGGAATTATGCACATGGTTATATAAACCGTTTGGCCAAGATTTTCAAAACTGACTGCCAGAGTTAGGTTGCTAAATTGATATTTAGGGAATTAATGTACTGGCCTGGGTTTCAAAAGCCCTGAGCTTCTATTCTGCTGCTAGCACATGCTCTTGGAGTATAGTGATTTCCAGCACACCTAGAGAAGAAGCCAAGTGCCAGCAACAGTCAGCTGCCTTTAGCCCAGGGCAGCATTTCTCTATCAAAATTGTATTGCCACTTAATTGAACCGGAGTGGTACCCACTATCATTCATTTGAGCTATAATTGGCTTTATTGAAAGCCAATAGCTTGCTAGTAGTAGCAATACTGAATATTAGATATGTCACGGCACATTATGGGCCATCCTGCAACAAGGTAATTTAGGATGGGGAAAAAAATGAGCAGTGTTACTGATAAATCATTATCCATATAAAATCACGCTGGAATCCAGTACCATGAATATGGTTATGTTCCTCTGCGAGCCGGGCTTAGCAGAAGGATGCCATCTGCCAACTGTTGTTTAGAGATGGAATGATTACCCCACGGAGTATGCTTTTGTATGATATTTTACTACTAATTCGTAGGGCCATAAGCCTACATAACAGAACAATTAGCAATCAGAGCATTGGGAATATCTCTTGGGTATCAGGTCACTGAAGACAAACCAACCTAATGCCTTTGAAATTGTGATACATTTGCTTTCAAAGATATTTAGGGACATAGGAGTGATATCTCAGGCAACCTCATTGTATAATCCTGTTCATAAATTCACCAAGCTCCATCTTAAAACTAGCTAGGTTGCTTGTTCCCACTACTCCTGTTGGAAGAATCTCACTCCTCTGGATGGTTAGAAACCTTCTTCTAATTTCCAGCCTTATTTCTCCATTAGGTGCCTTAGTAAATACATGACTGCTGACACAGCTTATGAATCCATCTGACCATTGTAGTATTTATAAGTATCCCATTACCTTAGTATCAGAGTACCTCAGTATCTTTACTGTATTCATCCTCACTACATGCCTGTGAGCTAGGGAGGTGCGATCATCCCTAATTCCCAGATGGGAAACTGAGGCATAGAGAAACTAAGTGATTGCCCGGGGTCACAAGGGAAGTCTGTGGCAGAGCAGGAACTTAGCATAGATCTTCCACATCCCAGGCTAACACCCTAAACATTGGATCATCATTCCTCTCTATGTGCTCTTTCTGTGCTATGAATGAGGGTGATTGATAGACATGTAGAGGAGCAAGAAGCTTTGGAAGCAGAAACTGCGGGGGTGACAGAATCACAGCGTTCAGGAGGAGGAAAAACAGTCTGAAACTGCCTTGTGGTGATTGTGGAGAAGGAACTCCCACCTCAGAGTTCTATTTTCCAGGTCACAGGGAGTCATAAATCAATGTTGACATCAATAGGAGTTTCACACATGAGGTGTCCCTGATAAATTATACGAGAAAACATGCAGGGCTTGTGAAAGACAGTGCATCTACTGGTGAACTCACTAGAACATTTCTGTATTATTTTCAGGTAAATACACTCCCAGAGATTCAGCACTTGCTTTGCAGAAAAGAAGGATTATGCCAGATAATTAGAGCGTTCCCAGGTAATCCTCTATTTTGTTTCAGTTTGCATAAATGTAGAAGATCCATTGACCTGCTTAGTAGTGAGGCTGATACTGTGTGTGTGTTGGAGGTTTCATACTTGTATATTCTTTTTTCATCAACTTTTAAAAACAAGACAGAATACGAGTGATAATCCATTTCAGACATCTCTTGAAAGTAAATTGTAGTAATAAAGGATCCTTTTAACTAAAGTTACTGTATCATTTAGCAGACTGGAAAAGTCATGTTTTTTTAGAATACAAATGTCCTATTTGTCAGGCTATATTGTGTTATTCCATATATTGGTGTTTACCCTTCACAGTTCTTGGTTCAATGAGATATGTTTATCCAGTTTTATAAAACTGTTGTGGCATGAAGAAGGAGTAGGAGTTGTAGCTTGGTTTCCAGCCCAACAGAGTTTACTGATAAAAAAAAAAGTCTTTGTACATTAAGTTCATCAACCAGAAAAATTCAAAGGTTACAGGCCAGCTGCCAGAGAATCCTAATTTACTATGGGTGAAATTCAGCCCAGAGCAGGGGCCCTGCACAAAGCCGTATGCTCTATGTTAATCCCTAGTTAAACCCTATGAGGCAAATTCTGATCTCGTTTACACCAGTGAATATCTAGAGTCTCTGGCACTATTCTGGATTTACACCATATAACTGAGATCACACTGGCCCCATGCTGAGTGCATAACTATGTCTTAAGTGACGCACTGTCCCTAGTGTGAGCCCTTTGCTCTGGGATGTGCATTAAAGGGTAGTCTGATGCAATACAGATTTTAGACAAATCAGAGTAGATTTGTCAAAGTTCCAAGGATTTCAGAAATTGAATTCATTTTGTAACAGTCTGGCTTTGAAACATTTTGGTCAGCTCTGTTATGCTGTTTGGGCAATGGCCAATTAAAACAGTTTTATTATTTTGCTGCCACAAAACCACGAACATAAGAGGCACTCACCACACAGAGAGATTTCTCCTCCAAGTCATACTCTTTAATTGGTGTCCATAAATTGTTGTAATAGTCATCTCATCGCACACACATGGTGTATGAGACTGACTAGTGCTCTGCTTCTCTTGTAGATAAGGGCTATTTTAAAACATCTGATTGATTCCTTTCCATCTTTATATCATCATTACTTCACTAGATAAAGGGCCTGGTCTTGAGAGATGCTGAAGTCCCACTGAAGACACTGGGAGGTGTGGTTGCTCAGAATTTCTCAGGACTCTGGCCCTTACTCACATAGACTGTGTCCACAATGCAGGTGTGACTGCAGCTCAGGTAGGCATACCCACACTAGTTTTAGCCTCACCTAAAATGGCAGTGAAGACACGGTGGCATGAGCATCACCGTGGGGTGGCAATGTGAGTACATACCCAGGGTCCCAGGAGAGCTTGTACAGCCTGTGCTGAAGCTTGTGCCCCCATGTCTTGCCTGCTATTTTTGACCAGACTAGCTACATTCAAGCTAATGCAGCTATGCTTATCCAAGCTGCAGTCACACTCGCAGTTGCATTATAGACAGTCTCAGTGTCTGATGATGATTTTGGCAGCTTATAAAGATACGGTCAAGTAGTGTAGGCCTCTAATTTCAGTTTTGTAAACAGATTTTTATCAAAACAAATACAAAAATACATGTCTTTAAGATTTTTTTTAAATGTCTGACTGTTTTTAATCTAAATGTTCCCCTGAGGATTGAGAAACCAAACAGAATAGCATTGTCCTGCTGCATGAGAACCAGAAAGTGAGACCAACCAGTGTGGATTCACTGTCCAAGAGGAGCGACAGGCACAAAATAAACCAGCACCATAAATAGTGAAAAGAGAGGGGGTTGATCCACCAAGTTTTCAGATCCCTCCCTGCTATCCCAGACAGCTAGCTCTTTCCTGCTTCCTTTCCTTGTCACCATTTCCTGACAGACTTTTCCTCCCAGCCCAGACAGCAGAATTGCCAATAGTCTGGATTTGGCTGAGTTGGCGCCTGGATTTTGAAATTATCACAGGGAGGGACAGTTTTGGTCAATAGCCAGGCTGTCCCTATGCAGTAGCACATGGGACTTTGTTTTTTTTTAAATCAGAGTTGGCCTGCTGCTTCTGTCATCTCTGCCTGTGGGGGAAGTCACCTGTTCCTGTTGGAGATGGCCAGTCAGCTTGTATTTTTCATGTATTCAGCATTTAAAGGGTGTTAGCTATGTAAGAGAACAAGTAAAATGCATGGTTGCTACCCAGAAGAGCTTACAGTCTACTAAAAGACAAGATGAGACAGGGCAAGGGGTGACAGTCAATGAGGCGCATGGGTTCACAACTGTAAGATTGTGTTTCCATTGGGAGGTTATGCCAAATAATGCTTATTTCCTTTTTTAAATGATGTATTTTAGTTATAGCTGTTACTAGACCAGAGGTTTAGCTATGTAAAAGGAGGGTTGTCTGCTGTTGCTTTAAGAGTGCCTGTAAGGACACAGTCTCTGTGAGTTAGTTCAAATGTCTTGTTAACAGGACAAGACTCTGTAGTTCTTGTTTCTTTGTTTTCCCCCTTCACTGTAAAATAGTGTAATCAAACTGAAAACACATTTGTTCTTTGTGTATGGAAGATCATCAGGGGAGGGCTACTGGGGAGTTCTGTATGGGGTGGGAGAAGGGAGGCTGTGGAGGGAGAGACAGGGGTGACAGGGAAGAGGTAGGGTGAGGAGGAGGAGGAGGTCACAGGAGTGTAGGAGGATGTGATCATAGAGAGTGAGTAGGATACAGCTAGAATGAGAGGGAAGGGTTGGGATGGAGCAAGGTGAGAGAGGAGGAGAGTTGCTGGATGCTGGGCAGGTAGGGCAGTGGGGGAGGGGATTATGCATAATATTGGCAGTGGATTTTAAAGTCCAGTGTGGAAGACGTTGGTTAATATCAGGAGGCTTGGGCTGGGAAGGCTGGATCCTTCTGCTCGTTTAGATGGTGGCGGCTGGTTGTAGGAGTCTCTGGGGAGGGAGCTTTTCAACCTGCTGCTCCTGCCTGCCTCCTGCTCCATGTGGATGTGATGGGCTGGAGCCACACAGTTGTCCGGACACAGCTGCTGCATGGTCTGGTGGAGGTTCAGGAGGAGGCCCTAACACTCACCCCTCAGCTCCATGGTTCTGCTGTTGCTGGATCTGGTAGGCAGCCACAGGGCTCTCTGAGATAGGTGTCTTTAAGGGCCACCTAAGAAGCTACTCCTGACTGCTTCTGGCTTCAAATTTGAGGATGACTGGGGAGGGTATTTAGGATTCTTGGGCCCAGTGCCCCATAGAAGCTGCTGTATGGTCAGAACTGGATTGGGTGCCATGGAACTCCCTCTCCCTACAAAAAGCTAGACAGATAGAGAAGGAGAAGACTCAGAGAAATGGAGAGAAACCCCATGCTCCACCCTGACAGTGGAGCCTGGGGAGACCCATAATGCACACACAACCTTCTGTCTTAGAGAATTTTCCCTGGAAAAATATTGGGATTGTTGGCAGCAATGAGATGGACTCCCTGACATTCCTCTTGCCTAAGCAGTCCAGCCCAGCCCTCTGCAAACACACTTTACAGTCTTTCCCCAGGGTCCAGCCTGTGCTGTTCCCATCTCTTTTTTCAGCCAAGCCAGCAATTGTGTTTAAGCAGTATCTTTGCCGCATGCAGGCTTGCTTACCTCCCTGATTATGGTGCTGTGTGCTGGGCCCCTGTTGGAGTGGCTGCAAGATACTGTACACTTGCTTCCCCTCCCTCGGGACTGCTGGCAGCATGCTCAGGGTACTCATTCACTCATGTGGCATGTTCTCTAAACACCAGCTAGCTGCCACAGCCTGTTGGCCTTCCCCGGGCCCTTTGGTGACTCAGTGGCCAAAATGTTACATAGTGACATGACCAAGGGGTGGAGTGGGGCACACTGAAATCATGAAGCCCTCCACTATCCTCTAATGCTAGCTTCTCCTCCAATCCCATTGCTGTAGCAAGCAGGTGGCTAGTAAAAATTAATTGTGGAGTGCTAGTTGTTGCTTTTCCCTCCTTTCCCTTTGACTTGAGGAATTTTGCCACCTGACGTGAATGGCTGAGGTTGGGGGGCAAGGTGGCATTCCTCACCTTCTTCTGTTATCCCTTGGGCCACAGTTGTGGTTTTGTAGCAGCAGGTGGTTGGCTAGCAGCAATTGTCTGAGAGGCATGCTGCTTATTGCTGTTCTGCTCTGACTCACTACCAGCTGCTCTGACTGTATGTGTGTTAGGTCCCCTCTAATTACTGGGCTTGGATCCAAAGTTCTGCCACAAATCCACCCTTGGGAGCTTTAAATTATAGATTAAACATTCTTTCCATTTTAATAATCTAAAATGTTAGTGACGGGAGTGTACATTTTCAAAAATAGATTTGCTTTTGTTTGCCAATGTGCCTTTAAAAATGTCTCCATACAAGTAGGCATCACAATGTTGTGGCTGTGGGCTGTGTGCTATGATGCTCTTTTGAAACTCAGGAATGCTAAACCTGATCTATTTATGTATCTATTTTTATCTTATTTAGATTATAAACTCTCTGGGGAGGGAATTATCTCTTACTGTGTATCTGTGTATCTGTACAGTGCCTAGCACTGATCTCAGTTGGGGCATTGAGGCAAAACTGTAGTAATAATAAATAAATGTGATGTGTTTTGAAAGAAAAAAAAGTTTAAAAGAGAAATGAGTTTAACTACTTGGTCTTTGCTCATGTACCATACAGTCATCTACTGGGTTATTAGGATATCATTATGCACGTGGCTTTTAACGTTGTGCCAACTTTTTCATTATAAGTCATTTTTTCCAGAGTTTAATAACTGGTCTGTAAACATTGGTTTTGGTATGCAGCATGGCTCACATAATCCTAACCTAAGAGGAAGTTGTTTTGGAAAATATCAAGCCAGTCAATCTCTCTTTTTTATTGTAGTTATAAGTGTGTTACAGGAAAAAGGAGAAGTTTGAATGTAAAGACTAATTTTTCCGCATGGGTCACTCAAAACAGAATTTAAAAACAACAAATGTGGCAGGTTATTAGTCCCTAAGGTGAAATAATTTGCTGATGATTTTTAGTAGTAGTTTTGAAATAATGAGGTAGTAGATAGTCATGGCTGTCTTTCTCACTCTGAAAGTTCACAAATATTATTTAGAATGCGGTTCAGTAGGTTTTAGCCCATGACTTAAATTCTTTTCTGTCTAGATCTAATTGGCTGCAAACTGGGTTTTTCTTCAGTCACATTTTAGATAATGATTACCTACAAAAGTCATTTGAAGTGGCTCAGTTTTTTGGGAGCTCGACTTGAGATACCTTAAGGGGGGCAGATTTTCAGAGGGCGGGAGCTCTGCACTTTCTGAAGATCACATTGGAGTCCAAATCACTAGTCAGTTTTGAAAATTTAGGCTGAAGTATTTAAAATAAGCATCTTTTTTCTCTTGGCCTAAGCTACAGAAATGTGCACAGCACAAAAAAGCTAAAAGCATGTTAAAGTAGTGACAAAAATGGTAAACATCAGAGGTTAAATACTGACCCCACTGAAGTCAACTGGAGTTTTTCCATTGACTTCACTGGGGCCAAGATTTACCACATGATTTTTTACATTGTTTTGCATACTCAGTGTCTCCTTAGTTTTCAGAGGCACCCATTCTTGTCGGATGTTTCAAGACATATGATATATTTCATCCTTAATGGTAGATTTTCTTTCACCACCTTAGGGTGCACTGTTGGATCATATAAAATCATGGATCTTTGTTTCAGAACAGTTGACCTCTTCATTGAACTGCATTGCAGAAGCCATTTGAGAGGAATGGGCCTTTTTAGCTTGATGAGCACAACCTACCCTCAATCCATTTTTATTCCTAGTAATTCAGTGCCTCATGGTCTCTGTAATCACCACTACTTTTTAATTTTTTGCACCTGAATATAGCTGTGCTGCCCTAGTAGCAAAACAGGGAATAAACTGCTAATCTAGGTTGCTTTCCCGCACCCACCACATCATCATTTTAGTATTCCCCAGAGTAAATTTCAGATAATTTGCACTCATCCATGCCCTAATCTCACTAAAATGCTGGCTAAAGCAGTTAACTGCACTCTCTAGTAGGGTAAGCAGGTGTCCGGTTTTGTACCGGAACATCCGGTCGAAAAGGAATCCTGATGGCTCCAGGCAGCACTGATTACCAGGCTGGCAGGCTCCCTGCTAGAACTGCACCGTGGCCCACACAGCTCCTGGATCTGGAAGCAGCCAGCATGTCCAGCTCCTGGCCTTAGGGGCTGCCAGCGGGTTCTGCTTGGTGCCCCGCCTCCTGCCCGTAGGCACAGCTCCCATTGGCTGGGTCAGGGTAGGGGAGGAACTAGCACCACTCATGAGCGCTCAGCAGGCAGCTGTTGAGGGGTCGCGTGGCGCACACTTCTCCCACTGCTGGCCAGCCCTCTTCTCCTCGTGCTCCTTGTATGGCTGGGCTGGAGCTGCAGCACGTGCCTTGCTATGAACCGTGGTCTGTTGCCCCATCGCCGGCACCCAGGAGTTGGAGGTACGCGTATCCCCGTCTCTGAGTACTGGGAATGGGGCTGCACCCCATCCCCCTCACTGCATACCTCCCCTTCCCAACCCCCCACATTCCTATCCCCCTCACTGCATCCCTCCCTGTCCCACCCCCACACGCCCATCCCCCTCAATGCATCCCTCCCCGTCCCAACCCAGCCACACCCTCATCCCCCTCCCTGCATCCTTCCCCGTCCCAATCCCCCACATACCTATCCCCCTCACTGCATCCCTCCCTGTCCCACCCCCACCCCCATCCCCCTCAATGCATCCCTCCCCGTCCCAAACCCCCACATCCCTATCCCCCTCACTGCATCCCTCCCTGTCCCACCCCTAAACGCCC